TTTTCATGAAATATAGAAATAAAATGATTACTCAAAAATAAAAAAGATGATCACTTTAAATGTGTGCGTGTGTATATATGTATGTGTGTGTGTGTATACACACACACATATATAAAATATTTAATTTCTCAGCTTTTTGAAAGGCGCTTTTAAATTTTGTTTTAGAATTGATGTCCCACTAAGGTATTTATCTGGAAGTAGATTTAAAGAATTGAAATTTGTGTTATTTTCTTTATTAATTATGGCACTAATTAAGTTGTCCTGCTAATTATTTTAAAATGAATTCTAATGCCAAATCAGTGTAGTTTTCATTTATTATTTTATCAATTAAATTCATTCTATTTGTGAGAAAAAGCATTAGGCTGAATGAGCGTAACTTCATGCCTTCTACATTTCTCACAAGTCTTTATTTTCTCTCCCTTGCTGAAAATGTGAAAGTTTCTGACACTAAAAGCAAAGTGTAAAACATGTAAATGTTCAACAGAATAATTTTCTCTAAATGAAATCTCAGCTAAAACTGCTGAAGAGAATTTGACAAAAAGAAAAGTTCTAAACTATAACAATATCACTGAATGGTCAAACACCTTTTCTGGAAATTGCACATCTTCAGAGGTTTTAACAAAATCTTTTCTCGTAACCAGCGCTTATTTTTTCTTCTTGGCATGGCTTTTCAGCAATGGGCGGCATCAGCCAAAGCCAGTACATCCGGACACACACACACACACACACACACACACACACACACACACACACACACACACACACACACACACACACACACACACACACACACACACACAGTCAGAATGAAAGGTAAAAATTCTAATCCAGCCACCAGAACATTCAAACACAATCAACTGTCATTCATAACTGAAAGCACACACTCATATTCACACTTTCTCTCCTCTCTCTCATCCACCACAGCAGTGATGTTACCTTCGTGTCTGATGTGGTGTGTCTCACCTGATCTAGAAAGCTTTCTACACTGACAAAATTCTCAGCTCTACTGACTCTCAGAAACTATTTTCGACATTCAAAACTCTGCTCAACCCTCCGTCTCCACCTCCTACCAACTATCTATCAGCTGACACCTTTGCCTCATTCTTTACTGACAAAGTGGCAGCTATAAGCAAACAGTTTACTCAACTGGCCACTCCTGAACATTTGCTACCACAAACTCCTTCTAGCCCAACCTTCTCAAGCCCTACTGCTTCATTTTCCTCTTTTTCCCCTCTCTCTGAGAACTGTGTGTCCAAACTTCTCACGTGCAGCCGCCCTACTACATGCCCACTCGACCCCATTCCGACTAAGCTGCTCCAAGCTATTGCTCCTACGGTAGCCGCAGCAGTCACACGTGATCAACGCTTCACTGACGTCCGGTACATTTCCCACCTCTCTCAAGCATGCTCAGGTTAAACCGCTGCTAAAAAAAAACATCTCTTCCTCCAAATCATGTGGAGAACTACCGACCTATCTCTCTCCTCCCTTTTCTGTCCAAAATAATTGAAAGGGTGGCTTTCAAGCAGATCACAGAATACCTCTCACAAAACTGTCTGCTTGACCATTACCAATCTGGGTTCAAAAAGGGCCACTCCACTGAAACTGCTCTGTTAACAGTGATGGAATCCTTAAAAGAAGCTAGAGTGACTGCCAAATCCTCAGTGCTTATCCTGCTCGACTTATCGGCTGCAGTTGACACTGTCAACCATGGCTTCCTTATGTCTACACTCTCTAGCATGGACATCACAGAGAAAGCACATGCCTGGTTTGAATCGTACCTCACAGGACGATCATTCAGTGCATCTTGGCTTGGACAATCCTCTACCGTGCACCATCTTGCCACAGGAGTCCCCCAGGGCTTTGTACTAGGACCTCTTCTCTTTGCCATAGACACCACCTCACTGGGTGAGATCATTCGATCACATGGCTTCTCCTACCACTGCTATGCAGACGACACCCAGCTCTATCCGTCATTTCCACCGGACGACCACACTGTCTCTGCACGAATATCAAACTGTCTCTCTGACATATCAAAATGGATGAAATCCCACCATCTCCAACTAAACCTCTATAAAACTGAACTACTTGTCATCCCAGCAAAACCATCCATACAGCACAATATCTCAATCCAAAATGACTTCCTATCTCTCACTCCTTCAAAGGCAGTTCGAAATCTGGGTGTTGTGATTGATGAGCACCTGACCTTTAAAGATCATGTTGCCTCTGTTGCCCGTTCATGCCGCTTTGCGCTGTATAACATATGAAAGATCAGACCATACCTAACACAACATGCCACCCAGCTCCTGGTGCACTCTACTGTCATCTCCCGCCTCGATTACTGCAATGCTCTTTTAACTGGTCTTCCAGCCTGTACTGTGAGACCTCTTCAAATGGTCCAGAACGCAGCGGCGCGTCTGGTCTTCAATCAGCCAAAATGAGCACACGTCACCCCTCTGTTCATTGAGCTCCACTGGCTACCGCTAGCTGCACGCATCAAATTCAAATTGCTAACACTAGCATACAAAGTCCGAGATGGTACGGCTCCCATCTACCTGAATCCTCTTGCAAAGGCTTACATCTCGGCCCGGCCGCTCCGGTCATCACAGGATTGTCGGCTAGCAGTGCCTACACCACGCTCAGGACAATCCAGACTCTTCTCATGCATCGTTCCACAAATGTGGAATGACCTACCAAGCACTACCAGAACAGGGGCTTCCTTTTCGACTTTCAAGAAACTCCTGAAGACCCTGCTCTTCAGAGAGCATCTTCTAAACTAGCACCCTCCCTGCACCCGTCCCCCTCTCTACTGTCCACTCCTTGTTCCCTCCTCTCCGTGATTCATCATGCTGCCTCACTGCCACCTACGACTGACTGGAAATTGTTTGTTGTTGTTGTTGTTGTTAGCCTCAAGGGCAACATGCCGATTATATGCCTGGTTAAAACTTATTAAAAGTTTCACCAAAACAGAAGGTGTTTCTAAATCTACAAAGTTGATAAAAGTTCTAAAACAATTCATTGACATAAAACACCTGGTTAAAACTTATGTTTAAAGTTTTACCGGAACAGAAGGTGTTTTAAAAACGAAGTCAATAAAATTGCAACAAACGAAGTTAACCTTAAAAACCAACGAACACCGTCAACTCTAGGTGACATGCAGAAAAGATCCATGTGGATCACTCAGAGTTAAAACTACCAAAGTTAAAACTCTTCAACTCAAAGGGGTTGAAAACAAAATGAGGCCTGGAGAACAGCAGAACCCCAGCACTGCTGCCTCCCAGACTGCCGAAGGCACAGCCTTTTTATCCAAGGTGTGGCTCATCAGGAGGATTCAGCTCAGCTGTGCTTCTCAGCAGCCTGGAAGAGAGGAGGAGGAGGGGCGGTGTCCAGTCAATCACCAGAGCTGGGTGATCCTGGCTGCTTTTTCCCCTCTTCAGGCTGGCAGCCGTGACAACTTGTAAGTTGCTTTGGACAAAAGCTTCTGCTAAATACATACACATAAACATTAACTTTTTTTGTTTCCTCCATCGTTGTTCTCTCACACTTGGTCTTTGTATCTTTTCCTTAGTCTTTTTATATTTTGTCTTCACCTGCTCTCTGTTTTCTACTTTTATTCATTAACTCTTCTGCTTTTGAACTTCTAGTATCTCCTCCTTAGACCTACTTTCATTTCTCAGCTCTACTAACTCTCAACCCCACTTTTTTAAAATTTTAAGTTCACTTTCTCTACTTTCTTTTTTTCTCTACCCTCTCTACCCCCTCAAACAAGACAAGCAAATCAGATATCATAATCAAAAGGGTTTATTGCTGTGGTACTTGGTGCATATAAAATAATATAGAGGAGCAATAATTAGAAAAACCTCTATTGTATACAATGAATATACTATATGTACAATGACTAATATATACATTACAACTAATATATAATATGAAGACATTTAAAACATGAAAGGACAAGATCAGACTTTTCAGCGTAGATGAGCTTGAGTATGAATCTTAAAGGAATACTTTGCAACAAGTAAGGCCTCCCAGCCCCTATTGCCCCCTGTGGCCAGAATATTACAGTTGCAACTTCACACTGACGGGCTGCTCTGTTGGTACTTGGAATAATTGAGCTGACATACCTGGAGCTGTGGTCTGGTTCCGGCACGTTTCCTAAATGTTTTAGATCACGAACACAGCTGATTTTTTTAATTCAGTGATGAATTGCTCCTGTTGACGCTAAGGAAGGCTGTGGAGACATTTCAGCTGTTAGATTAAGGTGTTAAAAAGATGAACGCACAGCAAGGAGATATGTTTTGGTTCTGCAGACACCAAAGGGTGCTAAAAGCAAGCCAAAACTGCCTAGTTCCCCTCTAAGATGTTGTAACCAACTAGGGCGATATTGACCATAACTTGTATTTCGTTATTTTTAGCCAATTTTCGATATTTGATACATATCTCAATATATTTCTTCCTTCAATCAATCAATCAATCAATCAAAGCATTTCACCACCCTGGAAGAGATTGAAACAAAAACCAGGAGTTTGAAGTGAGAACGATAATAGACCGGAAGCCACTGCAGGGAGGCCAGTAAAGACTCAAAGCTTCATGTCTCAAATGTCACACGGCCACCTTTATTTATAATAAATGTATGATTTATGTAAAATAATTTGTACACCATCTAGGGGTGGTCCAATCCACATCAGTCACAATATTACCAAACCCGTCAGTCATGGTATAAAGGCTCGCTAAAACACCAACATTAAAACCCACAAAACTAAATGCAAATGTTTGGGTTGGTTTATATACCAGAGTTATTTATGAGTCAACTTTCCTAATCGATCGGATTCCTAAGAATACGAGAGCAAAACCTGCTAACTCTGGAAATTCACTGGTTGTATTTCTGTATCGACTGTATTGGTTGACGTAACTGGGTCGTGTCTTGTTTTAAAATAAGTCGATATTATAAGAATCTGGAGTTACTCTCCAGGGCTTTGATCCGCTCTCATGTCTCTGTGCAGGTGAGAAAAAGCGTTACCAGGTGTTGATCCACGGTATCGAACCTCTGCTGGAGACTCCCCTGCAGTGGCTCAGCGAGCACCTCAGCCATCCCGACAACTTCCTGCACATCTGTGTCGTTCCTGCACCCACGGATTGAAACCACGCCCTCTCACCTCGCCATCACCATGACAACATTTTGTGGACGTTAGGGTGCATCGTGATAGAGGTTTTGAATTAACAGACTAACGGGAGGAAGAAGCTTAAATGAGGTGAACAAAGATTATCACGGAGGTCTCAAACACACCTTTTACCTTTTATTTGTTTTGTTCGTCTTCTTTTTTCACACCACTGCTACTCTGCTTTTCTCCTCTGGAACGTCTAAAGATTCAAGGATGAGAAGAACTTTCTTTCTTTGACAAGTAAGAGATGAAGAGTCATCTCATGTTCACATCATCTCTGTTGCCTGCTCTACTCCTGAATAACCAGACATCACCAATGGAGCAAAGGATGTGAATGATTTTATGTTTTTCCATCTGGCCTTTCTGCGTTCTCCTCCTCGTGTAATCAGACTGACCTGGAGACACGAAGACATGCTTATCTTTGGAAGTGGTGTGTCACTTTCTACTGAAGTTGCCTTGGTTACTAGTCATGCTTCTGTGATGTCGGAGTTGGCATCCTAATATGGATTATACACGTCTATAAACTGTCCCACCAATGAGATATCACCCCAGTAGCAAATATAAGCAGATCTAGTTCCTATTTGTTGTATACAGATGTTTTTCATTACTGTTGAGTTTAGAATCTCATATTTAGTTAACGTAAAATCTGTCTAATGAAAACGGAGTATTTCAGTAGGGTTATTGTTATTTTACATATAAACTCTGTATTTTTATTTTTGTTTATTCTCTGGGATTACATCTTAAATGCTCCTCAGAGGTTATTTGTGATGATCAAACCCAAACGGATAATCTGAAAAATCAGCTAAAAGGGAGATTGTTTTTCTTTGTTTTTACGTTTTCTACATAGATCTAGAACGTTCACAGGCCATCATCTGATAGTCTTTAACCGTTTATGTGGCTAAAGCATAATTTGACTGAGTCAGGGGAGGTAAAAACAAAAAAAAACACTTCTTAAATAGCAGGTGTTGATTTCTCTGCATCAATACACTTTAGGTGGTTTTACTGTCTGTTTTGTGAAATTTGGCTCAAAAGTCTTTGTTCACTGCCAAAACTTAAATGTGCATCTGGTTTTGTTTTCCTAAAGAGCCGAGCCTGGATGATGAGACTATTAGTTATAAGGCTTTCTGGGCCATTCTTTGCATAGGCTTCACATGACACGATCACTGAAACTGGCTTTAGCAGACAAGCTATCTGACAGCATCAAAGGAGGAGTTAAGGGAGTACGTTATTGGATTAGCAAGCTTTTACCTAGAATCATTCTTGGCATGTTAAATGTCTCCTATTTGCAGCTTTTCTTTTTTATTAACATCTTTTTACACTGAAATAAAATGAAAAATCATACAACAAAAACTGTTTATCATAAAGAAGCCTCATGTCCTATGATCACTTTGTACAGCGTTGATCCACGGTGTCGTGGAGCTCATCAGACACCTGTTCAGAGGTTTGCAAACACCTGTAAATCTATTTGTTTCCCAAATGAAATCAGACAAACAGTTTTCACCATTTCACAAACAATTAAAAGAAAGATGATGCAGCTGTTAGACATCTGCATCGATCTCCTGGTTTGGCTGCTTGTTCACATTGATCATGTTTTAAGGCGAAATCATTACTGGGATAATCTTTTACAATCGTGTCACACAGCATGAAGCTCAGAGGGATTTGGGGTTGGGACAGAGGGGAAGGAGCTTAAAGAGTTTACAATGCCGTGCTGACCCCTGTGGAACACCACCTACCTGTGTCAGAGTCATTTAGAATAGAATAAGTTGTCAGACATAATCCTGACTGTAACGGCCCGGCTGATGCGGTCTCTCGTACTTCCTGGTTCAGAGAGACAGGAGCCAATTCATAATGTTGGAGATTCTCCATCATATTATCTTACCGTATATTAGAAAATTCACATCTAGAATCACTAAAAACATGCCAAACTGAAATTGCTGCAAAAAAGGTTTTTATTTTTCAGCGAAAGAAACATTTGAAAATATTCATCATTTCCAATCAAATCGTCCATCCATCCATTTTTGGCCACTTATCCGGGGTCGAGTCGCTGGGGCAGTAGCCTAAGCAGGAGGCCCAGACTTCCCTCTCCCCAGCTACTTGGGCCAGGTCTTCTGGGGGAAGGCCCTGGCCAGCCAAGAGACATAAGTCCTCCAGCGTGTCATGGGTCTTCCTTTAGGTCTCCTCCTAACTGGATGTGCCTGGAAAACCTCACCAGGAAGGTATCCAGGTTAGTCTAACAGGATAACCACCTCAACTGGATCCTCTTGATGTGGAGGAGCAGCGGGTCTACTCTGAGTCCCTCCCGGATGATTAAGCTTCTCACCCTTTCTCTAAGGCTGAGCCCAGAAACCCTGCAGAGAAAACATTTTGGCTGCTTGTATCTGGATCTCATTCTTTTAATGACTACCCAAAGCTTGTGACCATAGGTGAGGGTTGGGTTAGGGTTAGAACATTCTAACTTTCCAGTGTGCTGCCACCTAATCCTCAACATTTTCAATTAGTCTATTAGAAAATATAACTAAACATTTAGAATTTTCATTACCTCAATTCAAAGGACTCTTAGTTTTATAATATATAGGAAAACATTGTAATATTTCTTCAAAGGTTATAACCAAACCACTTAGAGATGTTTTGAAACCGTTTGGTGCCTCATTTATTTATATTATTTAACTTGTTAAAATACATCATATTTTAATAGTCGCCATATTTTAGAACCAGAATGAGTCACTTCTTATTCCTTTTACAAGAAGCGTACCCTTTTCTCTTCTCTCTCTCTCTCTCTCTCTCTCTCTCTCTCTCTCTCTCTCTCTCTCTCTCTCTCTCTCTCTCTCTCTCTCTCTCTCTTTCTCCTGTGTTTTATGGCTGACACTCACCCTCCCTCTCACTCTTCATCTCTCCTGGTTAATTATCTGTTGGCATTCACTCGCTGCTAATGAGACCGCTAAGCTGTCCAGACAGGCCTCGGGCTGCTCTGTCACTGTGTGCCCACGTACGCTCACCTTGTTGTCAGGGAGTTAAACCGTACAGCGCGAGAGTGTGTGAATGTGTGTGTACTTAATTACAGACATCATTTATAACCCCCTGCAGGTGTGTAGACATCCATATGCTTTCACGCCCACACAGACCCTGGTCGGTTGTCACATTGCCAGACTACTAATTTAAAGTGTATGTTGTGTGTGTGATGTCACACATCATGTCATCACATCAGGCTTCCTCAATGCTGCTTCTGCCGCCAAGAATGAATGGACGGCGGATTTATGGAGTTGAGTAAGAGCTGCCACACAGCGTGGGGTGGATGTGTTCATTTGTGTGTATGGAAATGTGTATACCATAGGATCTGCTGCTCGAGACACAGTGATGAAGAGTCTGACACACACTTTTATGGGATTTCCTGAGCCGTCATCCACCCCCTAAACTGTACGACACACTGAGGCGAGGCTGATTTAAAGCTCTTGGTGAGGTTTGGGAATGGAATGAGTTAAGTTGTTAGCAGGGATCCATTTCTGTAGTTTGGGATGTTTCATCTTGGATCAGAATTAACGACATTCATGTTAGGCCTAATTTTTTCAGGTTCGGTTTGTCCAAGATAACGCCTACAAAAAAAAAAGAGTCGAGCAATCAAAAGTTTCAAATAGTCAAAACACACAATTTCAGAGTCCATGTAAATCAACACCTGGGTAGGATCCCCCATGGGGGAGTTTCAGGTGTCTAAGAGCCGCTGCGCACCTGAAAGCCTTAACTAAGGCTCATGTTTTGGTTGAGTTGTCTTCATTTGATCCGTTCAGTTTTGGTTTCTCAAATACGACAAACCAGCATCTCCCCATCATCGCCCACTGAGGTCTCTGATGTCTAAAGACTTACTTCCTTTAGCAGAAATGTAGGAAAGCCATCCATGATGACATCACATGTCGTTATTTAACTAAAATAACAGCTATTCTCCTCCACCCTGCTATGCATTGCATATGTTTGTAGAGTTACTGATTTGAGTTGATCACGTTGGATAAAAGTAAATATGTAGACATCCCACTGGGCGCTGGAGAGCGTAATAGCGTCGTCGCCAGGTTGGATGGGTTCCTCACTCTGATTTTGTGAAAAAGCATAATAAAATGTATTTTTTGTTGGGTAAACATCTTCCTCAGTAGAAATAAATGCACTGGGGGTGAATGGAGACTCATTCAAGATGGCGGCTGGCTACTACAGCAGCTCCCATAGGCATCACCAATCCTCGGGGCATCTATGTATCTGATGTCTGTGGATAAATTAAGTCTTTGTGTCATTCAGTCTCAAATAGACCATTTTATTAAAGTTTTTAACGATTAAAATAGTCCAAAGTATGAGAGAAGCTCAAGCTGGCGAAGAGTAAAAAAGGGTGGTTAGTTTTTCGCTCTGCAGGGTTTCTTTGGTTTACCACAGCAGCACCGACTCAGTGAGTATCTGAGGAGGAGAAACACAAGCTGCTAAATCAGCTGAGCGATGTCAGACAGCTTGTCTGTTTGCTACTTTTTATGCTTTTAATGTTTTTGGAAACTTTTAGAAATGAGTCTGGGTCTACGTGCGATTAATTAACACCAGGCCTGTGTGTTATTGTACAGACTTTATACCAAACTGATTCTATTTCCTGTTTAAGCACATTTATTTAAGCTGATAATATCAAAAGTTGAATTAAAAGCATTTAAATCAGACATATGTGTAAAACATTCGTGTCTAAAATGACACTTGTTAACAGTAGTTCTAGTTCAGTCTCATATCTTGTCCATTACTACAACCCGCCGCGTGCTCTCAGGTCTGAAGATAAGCTCCTCCTAGCTGTTCCGAATGCACGTTTAAAAAGCCGTGGAGAAAGGGCTTTCTCTGTCTGTGCACCCAAGCTGTGGAACACATTACCACTACTAGTGAGGCAAGCACCAACAGCTAGCATTTTTAAATCACGCATGAAAACTCACTACTTCAACCTAGCGTATACCACATAAATATGAACCTCACTTACAACTACATTGTTTAAAAATGGAACTCACAATATCAACTTCCGTATTATTCAGGTTCTTTTTAAAATGTTTTTCTATTCACCCTGTGTTTTATTGATTTTTAACTGTTAGTTTTAGGACTTTTGCTGTTTTTCCTTTTTATCTTTTATCTCTGTTCTACATGACTGTATAACGCCGGTTTAATTAACTAACATTTTAGTATACAGCGCCTTGTTTGGTTGTAATGCCTTGTTGAATGCCCTTTATAAATAAAATTGGAATTGGAATTGGAATATCTGACAAAAAGCCTGAACATGATAAACATGATATGCATGCAGAATATGTATTTAATTTTTTAAAATACATTAAAAAGTCTATTACATTTTTGTGATGCTGTTGCTGACGTATACGTCAAAATGCAAGATTCTGCTTTGTGGTAAATAATCACATATTTGACTAATGAAATAATTTTTTAAAGTTTTTTTCATAAGGAAATTGTTTGATCAAAAAGCAGATTTTAATCATTGTGATTAATAGCAGTCCTAGTTTGTGGCATGTGATTGAGTTTTTTTCAGACATTCCCTTTTTTTCTTCTGATCCAGGCTCAGTTGTTCGTCCGTGAAACCCGCCCGATCTTGTGACGGTGAAATTGTAAACAATAAAAATGTTTATTTTGCATGAAATTCTCCTTATAATCTTGTAAAGCTGCTAATAACAACTGTGCAGTTGCAGTTATCCATAAAACTCACTAAATGACTCGTGTTGCTGGTGCTTTTAACACTTTTTTCACCTGACTCGTTTCGTTGGCTCCACTTTGCCTTCATCATACGCAAACGAATTAGGACCAGCCTTCCCCCTGGTGTGAACATGGAGGTAGGGCTGCCTGGAAATCAGCTAAATCTTGTTTGTTTCATCAGACAACACTTGTGCACAAAATATGTGTGGTGTAATCATGCTCAATGCAGATGTCCAGTTCAAATGTAGCTGCTATCACAGATTTTTCCCTGTTACTTCCCATAAATTTCCAGTAAAATCTGAAATGACTTAAACAGATGACTGATCTGATTTCCACCATATTCCCTGGAACCAGCTTGTCTCTTACTCACTCATACAGTTTTACCATCAGCTCAGACTGCAAACAACGCCCTCCAAGTCCACTGGTGTCCTAAACAATGAAAGTTATTTAGAAGTCTTATCAGCTCCTGTACTCCACAGAATGTCACAGAGAAAAGTTGTTTTTCTAGAACCTAACAAACTAAAACCACTAAGTACCCCTCCACCCCCCCAAAAATATCAGGCCTTTACAAACAGGCTCAAACAAACACACATGCACGCCCAGTTGTGCATTGTAAGCATCCCAGGGGGCTGCCGAGGTCT